CTATATATATATATATGATATACATAACAGTGACATATCTATATAACAGTCATATATATATAAATGCTATTATATTTGTATGATAAACAGTTTCATAGGAATGAGCCTCCAATACACAGAACTATTAAATCATACTTGTTAAAGGACAAATCTATTTTCTAAACATATGATAGCTTTTGAATATTTCTTAGTAAGTGCTTGTTGAATTAAAGCAAGCTTTGCAAAAAACATTGGAATAGAAATACGTCAGTATAATTTTCAACTGATAAAAATGGTTCTGAAATATATTCTGGTAATCTGTAATATATAATTATATATGACTGATTATTTGTAGTTTTGTGTTGGCATATATCTTTTATTCAGTCATCCATTAAGTTAAATTTTGTTAGTTTAAATAATTATGGAATAACCTAGAACAAAAATTAAACACTGATTCAAAAAGCAAGTTTTCAAAAAAATAGTTTTACTTGCCGTCTCAGAACACCTGTGCAAAGTCTTATGGATAAGCTTTTTCTCTATAAAGCAAATGCAATTGTATCTGCTCCTCAGTAATATTTTTAGACATGGACAGAGCTGTTATGCAGATCACTCAGAGTTTTCTCAGTGTGCCTGTCAGCAGGCTTTTAACAAATGTTTTATTAATTGATCCACAAATTTCTGTTTCATTGTTACATAAATTAGGTGAGAGAAAGGGTATCAAGCAGCATAAGTAATTTTGGAAGAAAATACTGTCTAATGAGCAAAGTCTTTAATAGCTATGTTACTATCTCACGTCAAACATGATTATGAAGGGGAGTTGCTCTTTTTATAGCAAGAGGAAAAATCATGCCTAGAGCTGTAAATAGAAAACCCGAGACCAGTGAAGTTTAACAAAGTTTACTTGAGCAAAAAAATTTCCAGAACCAGTCAGCATTCCAGACAAAAGATGGTTCAAAATACCCTGTTCCACCACAAGTGCAGGTTGTATTTATAGCCAGAAAGAAAGTAAGTGCCATACAGAAACAACCTGATTGCCAGTAGCATTTACCTTGGACCCATGTTTTACAGCTTCTAGTCTCTGGTTGGTTGGAAGATCAGCTGCTATAATTGGCTGAGACTCAGTTGTGTATCAGAATAGGTTACAAGCTAGATTGCACTTCATTATGTAAGGAGGCTACTTTGGGCCAACTTTATAACCCAAATATAGAGACAGATGTAGGTCAGACTTGCTCCAGTTTAACATATGGGGACTTTTCAGAGAACTTAGTTTGTCCCATAGGCTTTTGTTTATAAAATTGTGTGTGTGTGTTCTCTTAGACTCATATTATCTACTGCTTACTTAGTGCAAAGTAAAAGTATCAATTAAAAATTAATGCCTCTGGACTGGAAATGTGGCTCAAGTGGTAGAGCACTGCTTTCCAAGTTCAAACCCCATTCCCACCAAAAAATAAAAAAAGTAGATAATGTCTGTACATATGCTGGAAAGGAGGAGAAAAGCCATTCTTTGAAGACTGTTAAGATATGAAACAGTTATTTAAATAATCTATATATTGTCTTATTAACAACTCTATTGGTATTAGTCCCTCAATTTCAGTAGCTGATATGACAGACTGTGATGTGCATTGGCATGTTAACTGATCCCACTTCCCTGAGATGATACTTTTCTTTCTCTAGTCTAATGAGCTTCAATTAAGTTTAGCATTACTAGTTTAGTAAGCCTGTTAGAAATGCTAGTATTATTTATTTATTGCAACAGTTATAAAAAAGTAATAAATCAAATTTCATTATAAAAATAAAAGTGTAAAATTTAAAAAATGAGCAAAATTCCTGGTTGAGGTGCATAAATGGAAAGTATTTATGGTTGAGACTCTGCCCTCAAAGAGTTATGCATTCAAAACAGTAGAAAATTCTGCTATGCCATTAAACTCTTTAGATACAATGACTGAGGCAATTCAAAGTATAAAATTTCACATCTTATTCTAAACATCCACATGTATATATTTTAATTAACACTGCATATTTAATAATTTTAATAATATATTACTTACTCTGATTTTTCTGCCAGGACAACAGCAGAAGCCTTTTGTCATATATTGTTTCGTATTATCTTCGAAATTTTGATGAGGTGAGATCATTTCACATATAATCTTATTTTGTTATTCTTTCTTGGTTGGGTGATTTGGTAGTGTTTTTTCCTTGTTGCACTGTTTTAGTTTTTTGCCATTGTTGCTGCTGTGTGATTGTTACTTATATTGATGCTGATTTGTTTTAAAATCATGTTTGCTAATTAGGATGCTGGAAAAGAACAGTGTGTGTTTCCACTGCCAGAACCTCAGGACCTTTTTCAAGCATCACAGATGAAGTTTGAAGATTTTCAAAAAGATCTTAGAAAACTAAAGAAAGACTTGAAAGGTAATTATAATCTCAAACTTGCATTTTTAGTTTTGATTTTTTAATGAGAGAAGATAGATTTTTCAGTGTTTTTGAAGGAAATAAATTGGTCTTAAACCTCATGGAACTTGTGTGTGTGTGTGTTACGTGTAAAGAAAACTTTTGCCAATGTTCATATTTTTTGTTTAAAAAGTTGTATATTAGAAGAGTATCATGGTCATTTGAATAATAATCCATTTCATCAGGATTAAGTTTGCATACTGTTTTCATAGCTATGAGTATTTGGACATTCATCCATCATAGTTGGACACAATGATGTCATTATTAAAAGATAAATATTCTCTGCCTATTCTCCCTTGCTATACTTGCCCAAGATTTTGTTGCTTTTAAACTTCCTTGTTTTCATACGTATATGGTTAAAGTACATATGTGAATGTTGTTTTATTGTCAGTCAAGGAACCTTACATCAAATCATTTTGATGAAAGATAGTCTGAAATTCCTAAATTTAAAGTAACATGACACAGAAGCAAATAGTTTGCAAAAATTTTATTTTTCTAAACAAAATGCCCTTTATCTCCTTGTCATGAGGTTTATTATTATTATAGCATTCAGAATGCTCCACTTATCAACTTAAGCCTCCTGTAAACTCTTGTCATTCCGTACAGACAAGGAGTGAATAAATTTATATGAGATTTTCATTTGAAATTCTATTACCAAATAAAAATAAGAAGTCTGGCTACCCCTATGCAGAAGTCAAAAAATATATAACTTTGGAGGAGACTCAGTCCCATTTTTGAGATGTGTGTATCCAAAGATCCTGATCTGTAATCAGTTTTATTAGAGTTTTTATGTTCTGGTCACAGATATTTAACACAGATTTCAGTCAGCACAACATCATGTAGTTGCTTGTAGCACTTAGATATCCAAACTGGTTCCCTCCAGGCATTGCTAGGTGCTGTGTACACACACACATCCCATCCTTTTTATTGAGGAGGGCTGATATTCTGTCCCTTAGGCATGTCCCCTTCAAGTCATTCACATAGGTACTCGTGGGGCCAAGAAAGATTGCCTGGATTTGCCCTTATTTTTAATAATTTTTAATAATAATTTTAAAATTATGTTATATTTGTTTAACATTGTGGTACTATATATTTAAGTTAAGAATTCTAAAAGTAAAAAGATTTCATGTTATAGAATTTATCATACCTCAAAACTATGCCAGATATTTTGGTTTGTTTAGGAACTTTTACACACATGCACACAAACACATGTGCATGTACATACACACCTGTGCACATACATGAGAATCTGGAAAATACCTTATACTTTGACCTATAATTCAGTAGGATTTCACATTTATGGATGATTTGATAAGTGAGAGGGCTGAATTTTATTACAAGGGATTTAAATCTGGTGTGTTTGGTGCATCGCTTTGGAACATTGCCCTGTACTCTTTTGGTATGTACATGCTTTCTTTCTATAGAATTCAATATACAGGTACCCAGGAAAAGGCAAGTTCTTACAAAACTTGGAGCTACTGAGGCAAAAGCAACTAACACAAATGATGGACTTGAGAGGAGGGGGACAGTAGTCCATCCCCCAATGTGTTTGCCATCTCAAGCAATGTGGCCACTTCAGAGAATTAAACATGGAAGAAGCATTCTAGCAACATGTACAGGTTAAGGAGAAACTTTAACTATGAGTGCTTATGCTTCATGTAGATGAAGACAAATGCATTGAAACACCCATACCATTGATTGGAAAGTACAGCCCTTGCCTAGCATGCTGTCTTCTCCTTTTTCCCATAGGTTATAACAATTTGATGCCATAGAAGTGGTGAGTGTGTTAGCTTTCCATCGCTGAAACAGTTTTGGCAACTGGTTTCAGACGTGTCAGTCTAGGGTTGGCTGGCTCCATTACTTTTAGGCCTATGGCCAGGCAGAACCTCATGGCAGAAGAGCATGGCAGAGAAAAGCTGCTCATCTCATGATAGCCAGGAAGGAGAGAGCGAGGAAGAGAGAGAGAGAGAAAGAGAGAAAAGAAGAAGAGGAGGAGGGGGAGGGGGAAGAGGAGGAGAAGAAGAGGAAGGAAGGAGGAAGAGGAAGGAAGGGGAGGAAAGGGGAGGGAGAAAATGAAGAATCCTGGGACAAGATACACACTTCAAAGGCAAGCCACCAGTGACCCACTTCCTCCAGAAACTCCTAATAGCCCATTAATCTATGAATTCATCAATAGATGAATTGATTAATGCCCTCATGACCAAATCTCCTCTCAGTATTGGCATTTATTGGGGCCCAAGTCCTCCAACACAGTAGTCTGAGAGGGGGTCTCCAGATCCAAACCCTACCAGGGAGGTCATGACCAAATAAAGAAGAAAAGGTTGGTTTAAGTGAATTTTTGAAAGGAATTTGCAATATTTTCCGAAAGGACTTACAATAGCCCTCCAATTTATTTGGCCAGTAATATTTGTGTGGTGGGTTCTGTGGTCAGTGGAACACATTTGCACACGTTTCAGAAATGCAAGCTGGCTGCTGTTAATAACAGAAGCATGCACTTGCCTCTGAGGAGCTTACAATGAAGGTGGGGGAAATGAGACTATAGTTTATGAAATAATGTAGTTATAAATCACTTTTCTAGTAAAACGAGGTCAGCTACAAGAGATAATCACAATATACCTCATTTGTGATTTTTCCAAAGTTTGATAATTTTCATAGAAAATGGATCTTTTATAGCACAAGGAAGAAAATAATTGTGAATCAAAATTTCTAGGATATAAAGAATTTTCAACAATATAGCCTTTCATATCAGCATCACATAAAATAAAGCTGCCTCAGCCAAATCTAACAACACATCAGAAAGATCATATACGATGACCAAGTTGGCTTCATCCCAGGGATGCAGGGGTGGTTCAACATATGCAAATCTGTAAATGTAACACAGCACATTAATAGAAGCAAAGACAAAAAATCACTTGATCATCTCAATAGATGCAGAAAGAGCCTTTGACAAGATCCACCACCGTTTCATGATAAAAGCTCTAAGAAAACTAGGAATAGAAGGAATGTACCTCAACATTGTAAAGGCTATTTATGACAAACCTGCAGCCAGAATCATATTTAATGGAGAAAAACTGAAACCATTTCCCCCAAAATCAGGAAGGAGACAAGGGTGCCCACTCTCCCCACTCCTATTCAACATAGTCCTGGAATTCCTATCCAGAGCAATTAAGCAAGAAGAAGAAATAAAAGGAATACAAATAGGTAAAGAAACTGTCAGAATATCCTGATTTGCAGACGATATGATCCTATACCTTAAAGACCCAAAAAACTCTACCCAAAAACTCTTAGACACCATAAACAGCTACAGTAAGGTGGCAGGACACAAAATCAACTTACAAAAATCATTAGCTTCTCTATACACCAACAACAAAGAAACTGAGAAGGAATACATGGAAACAATTCCATTCACAATAGCCTCAAAAAAAAAATCAAATACCTAGGAGTAAATTTAACAAAGGATGTGAATGACCTGTACAAAGAGAATTACAAACACTTGAAGAAAGAGATCAAGGAAGACTACAGAAGATGGAAAGATCTCCCATGCTCATGGATCGGTAGAATCAACATAGTAAAAATGGCTATACTACCCAAAGCAATCTACATGTTTAATGCAGTTCCCATCAAAATCCCAATGACTTTCATCACAAAGATTGAAATCTACCCTAAAATCTAACCTAAAATTCATTTGCAAACACAAGAGACTGTGAATAGCCAAGGCAATACTCAGCAAAAAGAGCAATGCTGGAGGTATCACAATACCTGACTTCAAACAGTATTACAAACAATAGCAATAAAAACAGCATGGTACTGGCACAAAAACAGACATGAAGACCAGTGGAACAGAATAGAGGACCTGGATATGAATCCACACAACTATACCCACCTCATTTTTGACAAAGGTGCCAAAAATATACAATGGAGAAAGGACAGCCTCTTCAACAAATGTTGCTGGGAAAAGTGGTTACCCATCTGCACAAAACTGAAACTAGATCCATGTTTATCACCCTGTACTAGTATCAACTCCAAATGGATCAAGGACCTAAATACCAGACCTGAAACTCTGAAGTTACTACAGGAAGGAGCAGGAAACACTCTGGAACAAATAGGTATAGGCAAAGACTTCCTCAATAGAACCCCAGCAGCCCAGCAACTAAGACAAAGGATGAATAAATGGGACTTCATAAAATTAAAAAGCTTCTATACAACAAAAGAAATGGTCTCTAAACTGAAGAGACCACCCACAGAGTGGGAGAAAATATTTGCCAACTATACATCAGACAAGGGACTGATAACCAGAATATACAGGGAGCTTAAGAAACTAAACTCTCCTAAAATCAATGAACCAATTAAGAAATGGGCAACTGAACTAAACAGAACTTTTTCAAAAGAAGAAATTCATATGAACAAAAAACATGTGAAAAAATGCTCACTATCTCTGGCCATAAAGGACATGCAAATCAAAACCACACTAAGATTCCACCTCACCCCTGTTAGAATAGCCATCATCAAAAACACTACCAACAACATGTGTTGGTGAGGATATGGGGAAAAAGGAACCCTAAGCCACTGCTGGTGGGAACACAAGCTGGTTCAACCACTCTGGAAAAAAATTAGGAGACTTCTTAAAAATCTAAACATAGACCTGCCACATGATCCAGCAATACCACTCCTGGGGATATACCCAAAGGAATGCAACACAGGTTACTCCAGAGGCACCTGCACACCCATGTTTATTGCAGCGCTATTCACAATAGCCAAGTTATGGAAACAACCAAGATGCCCCACTACTAATGAATGGATCAAGAAAATGTGGTACTTGTACACAATGGAAATTTATTCAGCCATGAAGAAAAATGAAATCTTATCATTTGCAGGTAAATGGATGAACTAAATAACATCATTCTGAGCGAGGTCAGCCAGGCTCAGAACCAAAAATCATATGTTCTTCCTCATATGTGGAC